GAATCTGAGCTTTTCTAATTACTGTGCAGTCAAACACACTTATACTACATGACTTAGAGATGGGTGGACTTAAGGAATCAGAGTTTCAGCTTTTCTCTCAGCTTGTATTCACTCCAGTGCACTGATACCAATTTGCACGTGCTTTTAATGTCTCTTGCAGGAGTGTTGCTGTCACTCACACATCATCCTTTCCTTAATGCAAGACATGGTTTGCCAGTTCATAAATCTTCCAGCTCTTATATCTAAAGGTCTTTGAAGTTTGCTCTTAACCAAAGGCTCTGCTTACTGTTTGCATTGTAATACTGTCTGGGGCTCTCACTTTGTCTAATCCTTGTACAATTAACCAAGATCCCATTCAACAAGTATGGTTTGTTTTTCCTTTCTTGCCACTTGATTTCTATGTCTGGACTCTCTCACATTGCAAATTTGTTGATTTTGTGCAACAAGCATTTCCTGGTGCTTCAGTGCTTGGTGACACTTGGTTTGCTTACCTGGGTGTGTGCACTCTGCAAACACTTTGCTGAGAAGTGAAGCTGGTTTTTCCTGCTGCTGTTGATGGCATTCTGCAAGCAGTATGCTTAAGTGACAGCAGGAGGAGAGACCAAGTTGGTCCTTACAGTCTCAGCATGGTAAGCTTAACATTTGTGCATTTCTATGTCTTTCTGCCATTTAATTAGACTTAGTGTGGGCAGTCCCTCCTTTCCTTCCTTCATCATTGACTTGCGTACAGCTGTGAGCCTCAGAAAAGAGTTCTGAAAAGAACTGTGGACATGGACCATGTTTTGGTGGCTACCTACTGATGCCATCTTACTTTCGAATTTTAATTAAATTCCCATGTGAATGAGCTCAGGATAAGCAGGATTTGTGTGTTTTAAGCAGCATGTATGTGTCTCTCTTCATTTGGGAGTCAAGGCTGGGTGCGTTGGATTTAGATTCAGCATGGTGTGATGCACAGTGCCAGCACTGAGCTGGGAGATGGGAACTGTGGTTTCCTGAGACATGTGGAAGAGGCAGTAGTGCCATCAATCCTGCTCCTGCAGAGTTTCCAACTGGGCTTTTGTGCCTCATGCAGCTTTGGTTTGAGCAGTGCTTGGTGCCTTTTCAAGAGACAAAATATCGCAGCTTCTTACGTGGCAAAAGACAGTCACAGCCACCACACCATGCTGCATTTGGCTACTCTTGGTAGGAATTTCTTTGCCAGTATGGAAATAGTGTTTATGCCTGTCCCAAATACACCCATGCTCATAAATTTGTGTAGTGCAAGCAGCATTTCTTGGCTGGCAAAGAGTTTCCCAGCAGCAGTAGGTGTAGGTTCTGTCACTCCAGTGTGAAGCAATGCTGTGGTCCCTGTACCACTGCAGTCAGTGCATGTGGAAAACGTTGCCTCTGCTGCTGAGTCACTAAATTGTTCCATGTACTGGTTTTTGGCTAAGTAAACATAATGGTTCATTTGTGTAGTGCAAGCAGCATTTCTTGGCTGGCAAAGAGTTTCCCAGCAGCAGTAGGTGTAGGTTCTGTCACTCCAGTGTGAAGCAATGCTGTGGTCCCTGTACCACTGCAGTCAGTGCATGTGGAAAACGTTGCCTCTGCTGCTGAGTCACTAAATTGTTCCATGTACTGGTTTTTGGCTAAGTAAACATAATGGTTCAGTTCAGAGAGCAATTTGATAATAGCACCACTGAAGAAAAGAGGCTAATTCCTCTCCCTTCATCTGGCTTCCTTTCAGCTCTGTCGCTTGAGAGCAGGATGCTTCTCCCCCTTCCCAAGAAGATGGGGAGAGCTGAAGGCAAAGCATTTTGGAGTGCAGATGCCTCAATTTGCTGGGTTCAGGAGTGGCAGCAGTGGTCACTGCACCTGCAGCAGCTACAAATGTCACTGATTGCAGTGGATTTTCACTGTTCTTCCTGTAGCTCTTAACTAATGATCCTCATGAAGATTCAGTTTTGGGGGTGCTGTATTTCTAATTGTCACAAGCAGCTGTGCTGCTAGCAGTTGGCAAAAATAAATGGCATGTTCTTCCTCACTGTAATGCTTTTTTTCCTGTTTTTGTTCATTCGTTTGTTTTTGTTTGTGGTTTTGTTTGTTTGTTTTTCAAACAAGCCTTAAGTAATTATTTTGTCTAGGTAGGGTGAGCAAATGCTCTGTGGGTAGACACAGTATCTGTGCAGTGTGTGAAGGTACACTGCAGGATAAACTGCATCTTGTCATTCATTTGGATCTAACTTTGCTGTCATATGCTAATAAATGTGTTATTTCCAATGTATCTTCAATCAACAATAGCTTCGGAGAGGAAAACTCCATTCTAGAAACATCTTTGCACAGAGGGAAGAGAAGGGGGAAAAGCACAGGGATAGTGTTAATGAGCAGTTCTCCTACCCTTTCTGTGAGTCAAGGGAAAACAACCACAAACTTTAGAGGCAAATTTACCTACTGCCTTGAGATTGTGTCACTAGGGAGGAGGAATGAATGGACTCCTTCCTCTGCAAGTCCAGTGTGAGATGATTGCTTTACTCTGCTTTAAGAAATGAGTGTTCTATCTACATACTGAATGCAGATTAGAACGAAGTTCAGCCTTTTAGAGGGCTTTGCATTTTAGTATGTGTCTTAATGTACATTTTACTGCTCCTCAAATGTTCTGTTGTGTGAAATCTTCACTCACTTTAGGATGAAAACAGCTACTTTTTCTAACCAGCCCCAGGGCTGCTTAATAAAACATCACAAGTCTGTTAAAAGGACCGTTGTCACTTTCTAAAAGCTGGCTGACTGGTTTTGTTTTTAAACCCGAGGTTGATTCATGATTCAGCTCTTGTCAGGTAATTTATTCTGGACCTTTTAGAGTGAGCAAAAATAGAGCAGGAAAGGAGAAGAGCAGATTTTCGTGTTAAGTCTTAATGTAAATTACAGGCCTGGTCCCTAATAATGTGTTGTCTAAAGCAGGGAAATCTTAAGTGGCAGCTTGTTAAAAACAGTATCTCATTACTTATTAGCCTCCTTTCCTATGGAGCAAGAGTTCCTGCTGGTGCTGCTATCATCGTTCTCATTGTTTAACAACTCCGTGTGTAAGAGAGATGCTCACCACTTCCCACAACGTGT